GAACTTAAATATATATTTATGTTTCCAGTTAACTTGCAATTTATTTTTTTCTTTTGAAACAGCATATAGCAAAAAGGCATTTTATTCAAAGTCTTGTGGTTTTCTGTTTTAATTTTTTTTAAATGCTTTAAAATACAAGTTATTGTAATCTAGCCCTTTAAAATGTATCCTTGATGAGGTAATGCATCATTTTCCTATGACTCTGTTACTTGAATTTACATTTTTTTAATAGATTTTCTCACTCCTCCCAAGTGTTTTTTTTAATGTGTATTTCTCATTTTTCGGTCCTCTACCAGAGGCCTGTGAGTCTGAGGGTTCTGCACAGTATCTTAGCTGTTCCTAAAACTGCACTCTTCTGGACAGCAATCTCATATATCCAACCTGGAATTTGCCAAAGCCACTCTCCCACCTTGCGGGTCACAACTATCATAACTAAGAACTACTACTGCCATTGTCAAGAATAATCTAGTGTCACAACTAGAATATATATAGACTTGAGAAAGGGAGGTTCTCCCGAAAGCTTGTCATTAAAAAATTCTGTTAGCCCAACAAAAAAGGTATTACATGATACGAATCTTATCTGTTTTTTACATCTACATCACTGGACTAATACGGCTACAATCTCTACTTATATATATATATATATATATATATATATACTTCAGATACTGGAAAGGAGTAGGCACTCGCAGGACTTTGTTATGAAAAAGCAGCCATGCCCCATCTGTCCCATCTGCAAAAAATATTTTGCTACTGGTTTCTCTGTGGAACCATCACGGTACGCTGTGTTGATAGCTGATCGGTGCCCTCTTATGCAATCTCTTAAGGTTAACTCAGTTTTTCCAATGTAGTGTAGTCCGCACGGGCATGTAATTTTATACACTACATGGTCTATCATACAGGTGATATGGTGTTTAATGTAAAACCGTTTATTGTTGTGTGGATGTAGAAAAGTACTTGTTTGTAACATGTGTCCACATGTTACACATCCTGTACACTTGAAACAGCCAGCTTTAAGGGTTCTATTATGTAACTATTTTTTTTCGTAACAGTGTTTCGGGTCTGTTTGAGGTCTGTTCGGGTCTGTGGATACTATTAGATCTCTGATGTTGCGACCTCTGTTCAAACTAGGGATGTGCATGGGCAAAAGATTTGGTTCGGCACAAAATTCTGGACTTTGGCAATTCCCTAACCGTAACTCTAACCGTAACCCTACCCTTAACCCTACTAGGGTTAGGGGTAGGGTTAGATTCAGATTCCTGTCATCATTCCCCTTAATTTTCCCTCCCTCTCCGGTTTTGCCACTTTTCAGAAATCCTAAGCACTTCCGAAATTCGATTCGGCATTTCAGAAATTCGGCAATGCGGCACTTCGGACATTCTGAAGCATCCGAATGTCCGAATTGCCGAAATTTGGCCGAAATTAAATTTGGACCGAAACGAATTGCACATGTCTAGTTAAAATTGAATGTGGGATGGTGTTTGAAATCATTATGTAAAGTCTTATCGCTTGATAAGCTGTTCCAATGTGTTTTAATTGATTTAGATATAAACTCAGATGCCTTGTGCACGGAGTTTTATATTGTAGTTTTGAGATATTTTTATTTTTACTTTTTGATAACAATGTGGTCTGATGAAGTAGTTCCACATTTTCTTTTGCTTTAGGTAATTGTGTATCCAACAAGGACGAGGAGTAGCCTCTATACAGGAAGCGATTATACATTTTTTGTAGTTGATCTTCAGCTTTGGTTGAACTTGAGTTGCTACGGAGAACTCTAAGAAATTGAGTGTATGGAACAGATTTGAACACATGTGGTGGATGAAAGCTTTGTTGGTGTAAGACGGTATTTCTATCTGTGCTTTTCTTTTATTATGTGTAACTTAAGGAATTATTTTCCTGTGTTATTGACAGATCCAAAAACTGTATTGTATTCCAGCTATGTGTCATTTTAATAGGACCAGGATGGGTATTGATCTTATTTATTAATTCCTCAAAGGATTTTTCATTTCCCAACCAAATGATAAAGCAATCATCGATGTTTAAATAATAAAGTAGACTGCTGAAAAAATTATTTCAAAATGGTTTCCTCATACTTGTACATATAAGCATTGGTGTATGAGGGCGCCATAGCCATAGGTTATCGCCAGGTTCCTCTCTCAAGATCTGAGCGTTGCCACGGCAGGCTGCGGGGCTAAAGTTCACTCACCACTGGACCACCGGGGATGGCAGCAGCACGGTCCCCCCTCCCTACATAAGGTAAGAAGGGAGGGGGGATATTAACTAAACGGCCCGCCATAGTCTTCTGAATGTAGAATTTTTTCTCAAAACAAAAATAATTTAAACTTAATGTTAACCTCAGTTTATCCAATAGGTATTCTACATTCGGTCCTTGATAGTAAGGAGATCAGAGTGTTAATTCTCTTACTGCCTCTATCCCCTCCTCATGGGGGATCACAGTATAAAGACTGGAGACAGCCATAGTTGCCAAAAGTATATCCCCGTCCGGTAATTGTAGTTGTTGTAAGATTTGAATTAAAGAACCACTATCTCGTAGGCAGTGGCGTACTAAGGGGGGGACGGAGGGGGCGGTCTGCCCTGGGTCTGGGGGCTGGAGGGGGCTGTGTGAGCTGTGTCAGCACAGTACCCCCCATGTTAGTTAGGGTGCCGGTGACCAGAACAGCTCTCACACGCTAAGAGCAGCTGAACTGGCCGCACGGAGGTAAAGTGGGGGCGGAGCTAACACGACTCGGGGGCGGAGCCAAACCAGCAGCGGGGGTGGGGCTTAATACGGCCCTTACCGGTTACTGCTGCTCATGGAGGTGCAGTAAGACGGAATCCCATTCCCTGCTTCTCCACAGGCTTCAGGGAAGGACTTTAGGGAATCCACTCCTCCTCCAGCCCACTGTCTGTAAGTAAGAGTGTGTATCTGTGTGTGTGTGACTGTGTGTGTGTCTGTGTGTATCTCTGTGTGTGTGACTGTGTGTGTGTCTGTGTGTGCGTGTGTCTGTGTGTGTGTGTGTGTGTGTGTGACTGTGTGTGTGTGTTTGTGTGTGTCTGTGTGTGTTTGTGTGTGACTGTGTGTCTGTGTGTGTTACTGTGTGTGTGTGTGTGTAACTGCCTATAACTGTGTATTTGTGTGTGACTGCATGCCTGTAACTTTGCGTGTGTGTGTGTGTCTGCCTGTGACTGTGTGTGTGAGTGACTGTATATGTGACTGTCTGCCTGTAACTGTGTGCGTGACTGTCTGGCTATGACTGTGTGTGACTACCTGTAACTGACTGTGTGTGTGTAACTGTCTGCCTATAACTGTGTGTGTGACTGCATGTGACTATGTATGTGTGACTGTCTGCCTGTGACTGTTTGATGTTGCCTGTAACCGTGTGTGTGTCTATCTGCATAGGCATGCGCACAGGGAGTGCCGGGTGTGCCTGGGCACACCCTAATCCCTGCGGCACGTGCTATGTGCCTCCCTCCATGGGGGGTTGCAGGGCTTTTGTAGACGGGGGCAGTACAGGATTTGTAGAAGGGGTAGGACAGGGGTTTTGTAGGAGGGGCTGACAGCGTTTTTGCAAAGTTTACAAATTGTAAAAAAAAAAAAGAAAACGTAAATTTTTTTACAGGTTCTTTTGGGGGGTGGGAGGGTGCCAAGCAATGGATCCGCCCCCGGTGCCAAATGCTCTAGGTACGCCCCTGCTCGTAGGTAAGAATCAATGTGTTTAAGGGGTTCCTGTAAATGATGGTCAATCCATTTCCCCAATGGTTCCAGGATGACCCCTATTGCAGAAACTCTGCTGGGGGGTGACAAAATGCTTTTGTGTAATTTTGGAATGGTGTATGGTATTGGTATTTTTGGATAATTTTGAATAAGGTACTCCATTTACAATGATAATGTTACAGTTATATAGGATTTACAGATACGTAATACGTGTGTTTCCTAGTCAGTTAGTAGTGGTTTACTCTTCTCTTTATGACTATCCATAGCCAATAACCCGATATTCATAGAACGCATCGCTGTGTGATGGAGTTACTAAGAAATATATTGGGTAGATAACCATACTAAGTTACATTTAAAGATGGAGACATTTAATTTTTTTTGTGCAGATAGATACAGCAGTGCTTGTATTGCCACAAAAGCATTCACAAGCGCGTTTGTAAAAAAACAGAAGTGTGGCATGCGTATAATTTGCTATTTTTTCTTATATTTAGTGACTCAAGATATAAACATAGTAGTATAAGTAAGCATAGGTAAATATGTCAGTGTATCGACAACTTGGAGCTTGGAAATAAACAGGCTGTTCAACCTGACAGAGTGAGCGAGAGTTACATGAGTAAAGAGTATACGACACCTATGCATACGGTTTCCACCACATTGACAGGTATTTTATCTAGATTAGGCATAAAAATTAAAACAGGACTCCTCTGTCAATCGTAGAATGTAGCTAGCTAGGTTCAGGCATAGACAGTCAGTAGAGGATTATGAGTATAAACATGCTTAGCAGTACTAGTGGGTTTTGCTTGTTGTGGCAGTATACCGCCTGATCTGGTTTCGTCCTCATCAGAGTATATGAGTCAAGGATATGTCATGTTGGACTCACTTACTGGCCGTCAGGCAGGTCCCGTGAGATGGCAAGTCAGATTATTCACCTGACTCCCCTGTGAGGGTCTCGCCGCTGAGTTGAGTATAGTCCACCTTGGGGAGCCGTGCGGCGGTTTGAAGGAGGATTGTCCCTCCAGCCCCAGGGTTTTGGGAGACCATGAGCCTGGGGTCCATCGAGGGCCATGGTCCTCCCATGTGAGATAATTCGGTGGGCTTTGCTTGCTGTTTGCAGGTAGGTTCTTTCGCACCTTGTGGCCCTCTGTAAGTGTGGCCGGTACCTTCGGGTCAAGACCCACTTTGCTCTCAGCCCAGGGGAGCAATATGTGTGGGTGGCTGAAGCTAAGCACAGTTTTGTGCCCCAGAGGGGTTTTCCAAACTCCCTCTCGCCTCTGCCTGGCTTGCTTCACGGTGGCTTGTTAGTGGTCATCGCTGGCTTCGTGCGTTCTATTAGTTTGGCCCAGAATTGGTCAAAGATAACTTCAATAGGGTCTCTTACTTCTTTGCTAGGGCCTGTCTTGTCGAGTTGAGGTAGCTGCAGGCCGCGTGTAGCTGGGCAATGCGCTTCCGCCATCTTGGATGCCTCTTCTCCCGTGCAGCTTGGGAGTATAGCGTGGCCCGTCGAGAGTGATGAAGCTGCCCGCTCAGATCGGTGCATATATTCCCCACTGGTCCATGGGGTGGGGTGGGGGAAGAAAACACAGATGGAGTAAGTAAATTAATTAAGTAATCACATGCATTTGGTATATAAGTGATATTGCAATGATTGTAATTTGTCTTGAGAAAGGACCACTTTATTAAACTTTTTTACTTTTTCATAAATTCCTGCGAGTACCTACTCCTTTCCAATATTTGAAGAATGTATTATAGTTCCACTGTGGAGCACCGAGGCTATATTATCTAAAGATTTTTGTGGTTCTCAGTGAGTGCCTTCAAAATTCTATTTTTCTTATATATATATAGTGTAGCAGGCTGGCTGGGTCTTGGGTCATAAACAACAGAAACAGTTCTTTCTTCCAATATGAGGAAAGCTTTATTTAGCAAGTCAGCCCCAATTTAGCCACAGCAAAACATTAAATCAAAATAAACTCCTACTCCACACTGGAGACTCACTAACATAGAGTACCCTTTCTATGCTACTGGGCAGCTAAGCTGACCCCAGTAGTTTAACAAATAAAAATAAAGGCTTGCAAAATACCTTTACTTTCCACACAGTTTCAGCAGTCTCTTTGACTCACAGTATCTCTGTCTCCGCCCCAGCTCTTCACAGAAGAGACTGATTTCCCTCTGCATAGGGTTTATTTTATTTATTAGCTCCCTAATTGATGTACTAGAGCAGGCTTCCCCAAACTCCGACCCTCCAGATGTTGCTGAACTCCAACTCCCATGATTCTCAGCCTATCTATTTAATTAATAGAATCATGGGAGTTGTAGTTCAGCAACATTTGGAGTGCCAGAGTTTGGGGAAGCCTGTACGAGAGTAACCTGATTTTTAACCCCCTCTAGTCAGGGAACACTGAAAGTGCCATTCTGGGGCTAATATAGTAGTGTTCCCTCACACTGCCACAATATATATTGGTCCCAAAGATGAAATGCTAAGGAAATGTCTGAGAATTCAACAGATAGAGGATGCAGAAAAAGAGGAGGTTCCTTGGCAAGACAAACCTCTCTATGGGGTTTACCACAGGCAGATAGTGGATGTGGCTCACATGACAAAATCCTACCAGTGGTTGGAAGAGTCAGGACTGAAAGACAGCACTGAGGCACTAATCCTAACAGCACAGGAAAAGGCACTGAGCACCAGATCAATAGAAGCAAAAGTCTATCACACCAGGCAAGACCCAAGGTGCAGACTGTGCAAAGAGGCCTCTGAGACAGTCCAGCACCTAGTAGCCGTATTCAAGATGTTAGCAGAAACAGCATACACAACCAAGACAGAGACACAACCAAGTTGCTGGGATTGTGTACCGATAGTGGCATACAAACCAGGGGGAGGGAGGTTGACACTCGCTTGGTGGGTGTCATTCAGCTGCAGTCGAGCATTCATGTGAAGGAGGAGAAGGGCGGAGCCGCACAACGTACTCCACCCTTCTTCTCCTTCACACCTACAGTACTTCGCACTGAGCCTTGCGAGTGGCGCATGCGGCAGCAATGCCTCAGTATCATTGAGCAGCAAGCAGGCATCATGGCCATCATCAACTGTGAGTCTGCTATTGTTTTTTTTTTTTTTTTTAAATGAAAGTAACAGTAATGCGTGGACAGGGCAAGATACAAGCTGGGTACCTCTGTCAGATACTATATTGTGAGGAATAGGAATACCATGTAACCTGAAAACCTCCTTGGTAAATATGCGAGCAAGATTTTGGGAGGTTGGCAACTTTTTGAGTGGAATGAAGTGAGACATTTTGGAGAACCGGTCAACGACCATTAGAATAGTGTTAAATCCCTTGGACACAGGTCGATAACTATACAATCCATAGCTGATGGGACCACTCATGGGAACCCAAGTATAATCGGACATGAGGGTGAGGAAATAACCTGGAGGGTTATAAGCCCCTTGTGTAAAGCTCATACTGACAAGGAGATTGGGAAGGTCTTGTGAGTTATGAGCAGTTTCTTCAGAGGTCTACCAGCTCTGTCCTCAATGGCCAGAGGTGTTGACCTCTACTTCAGAGGTATAACGTGAGTAGAAATGAAATGAGCATCAATAAAGTTCTCTGCTGCTCCTGAATCTATAAGAGCATTGCAAGCAATGTGTTGGTTATTGGACAGGATGAAAACAGAAAGAAGATAGAGGCATAACCAGGGACATATGCATAACACCTGAGGCCGGTCCCCTTATAGTCCTTAGGTGCGCAGGTTTTCCAGGCGTATCGGACAGTTGTTTCTCATATGTCCCTTTTTGAAGCAGTGCATACAAAGACTCTTACTTCTCCTAAACTGTCTCTCTGCTTCAGACAATCTCATAACCCCTAATTGCTGTGCAGTTACCACACAATGCTTTTGGAAAACAGGATTGGAAAAAGGGGTGCAAGAGGTGCGGCATTACGTCTAGTTTTACTTCTAATTCTCTCCCCCTCTTTTAGTCAGTTGTCTATATGCATCAGATCGCTCAGTTTGTCTGGCATGTCCCTGGCAGCAACCTCATCTAAAATGGTTTTGGACAGGCCTTCACCGAAAGCGGAGACGAGGCCACTGTTTGTCCAATCCACCTCTGAGGCAAGGTTACGAAACTCAATGGCATAATCAGCAACAGAGCAATTGCCCTGTTAAATGCGCATGAGTGCTTTGGCCACATTCTTTTCCTTCCTTAACTACTCAAACGTTAGTTTGAACTCCGCTAGGAATTCTGCATAATTATAAGATATGGACTTGTTGCTCTCCCATAAAGGATTTGCCCAGATTAATGTCTTCTCTATCAATTGATTAATCAAATAACCAATCTTGGATCTATCTGAAGGAAAGGAGCCAGGGGAGGCCTCAAAATAGTACTCAATTTGGTTAATTAAACCACAGCATTCCTGAGTATCACCAGTGAAATGAGGGGCTGGTGAGAGGGATATAGATGGAGCTTTGTAGACTATGGGTACAACAGCGACAGGTGGGGCTGGAGGAGATTGTTGATCCTCCGGTTGGAGGTGAGCAGAATGGGCCAACAAGGTCTGAGTGAATTGATCCATATGGTGATCATTTTCCTCCAGCCTTCTTTCACAAGCCAACACGTGTTTACCTAACTCTGCAGGGTCCATGGCCCTGTTGTAATGTCAGGATGGGGCTGTAGCCCAACATGCAGAATTAAGTCAAAGTGATAAATGTATTACCTGGCCTTAGAATAGTCAGATTTAACGTAGAAAGAAGAGTAAGAAACAAGCCGAAGTCAGGGACACAGACAGGAGCATAAAGGAGAAGACAAAGCCAAAGGGTCAGGGATACGAGAAATACGGATAGTCAGAACAAGCCAAGATCAAAAACCAGGATAACAATATACCAAACGAGCTCTCGGATAACCAAAGTAGTGGAAACCACGACAGGGCACTGAACACTAGCAGGTTTGGGTTTAAATAATCTCCGAAGCCTGCTCATTGGTTAAAATGCGACCTATAACCTCAAAACGTGCGTGTGTGTTGAAAACGTGAAACCGCACGCATGTTTACATCATTTATGAAGTTTGTGGGGGTGGCGCTATTTAGTAGTGGGAGACTGAAGGTGCCGGCGTCCATAACATTGGACACGGCCGCTACACCAGATGCCGCTCGAAGGGAGAGGCGCCGTGGATTAGGTAAGTAACCTCTACCTCCTGCAGCATGGCCGCACTGATCGGGCGCTTCCACATGGTGCCGATCAGGCACCGCATGAGCGCACTGATTAGGTGCAGCCACACGGCGCCGATCGGGCACCATATGAGCACACCGATCAAGTGCAGCCATATAGTGCCAACCAGGCACCGTGACAGAGATCTTGTGGATCAGAACTATTTGGGCAGCACGAGGGGAACCTACCCAATAGTAAGCCGGTGGTTTTGATGTTGTAGCTGATCAGTGTGTCTATCTATTTATCTATTTACATATTATCTATCTATCTATCTATCTAGCTAGCTAGCTAGCTAGCTATCTTTCAATCTATCCCAAGACTGGGTTCTGCAGTCCTAGCTTTGACTTGTTGATTTTTTTATTTCTATTTTTTTTTACCATTCATGATATTTCTGCTTATTGCCCTCGGTTCAGTCCCAATGCTGAGATCAGCATGGATCTTGTACCAGAGTATTCTACTCTACCTAAATGTCCACCAGTTAATGTTCATAACTTTGTGGTCAGAATAGAAAATAAATACATCTTAGGGAAAAGTGTATTACTTCTAAAGAGATAATGGAGGATACAATCCTTGCTGAAGCTCTGGGACCTCTGAGACATGTGGTTGATCCGGTACATTGATCCCAGGGAGTATGGTGTTTTGCCTTATTTATTCATATTGAAGAAGAACCTCTTTGGCTTCCATATGCTAACGCCACGTCTCCCTCTATGGACAATCTAGTGGTCAAACTATTGACAATTATATCAATGGTATTAGAGTAAGCATTTATATAATGTGGATTAATAAGAAAGAGTTAAATGTATAAGCTACAGGAATACTAAAATTAAAGTGTATGTGTGTGTATGTATATATATATATATATATATATATACTGATAGTCATGTATGTCAGTAGGATTTCCCTTTAGTGTAGGACAGTGATTCTCTGTATCATGCGGTTGCAAATTACTGCCCAGTTTCCTATAAGGATCCATCCTGCATCTATAAACGTTTTATAGCTCAGAGAAAATAAACATGTGGTTTCAGGCCTTCACGTTGCTAGGGCTAGCACTGTTTCAGATTGCTTCAGAAACTAAAAAAAGAAAATATTGGTAACACTAATACATTTCCAAGCCTGCACATGGGGAATTAGGAGAGGGAGAGATTGTGCAAGTGTTATGAAATGTTTAGGAAAATGTTCACAAATGAGTTAATTTAGCACTAAATTGTATAATAAACAATGAGCTGAGTTCCGTATCTTTGCATTCAGTGAAATTCTTATGGT